ATCTCTTTCCTAGCTCAAGGATTCTGTAATTCAGTGATGTGATTACTTCAGCTTTTTAGGTTGGTTTTGTGCCCCAGGAGCATTAGCAACATCTTTTCCCCCAAATGAAAGTTGAAATCACCCATGGGTTTATTAGGTGGGCAACTTAATAAACCCCTGCAGCAAGAGGAGACTTGCCATGATTTTGTGTCTGCTGCTGGCACTGAGGTTTGTACAAACAGGTCTGTGAACTCCAAGGGCACAATGTTGCCTGCACCCAGAGGTGGAAAAGATCCTTAAGGGCACTTTAATCTCCAGACAGCAAAAGCTTTATCCCATTGTGGGACTCTGAGACTAATTTTTGCATTTTACACTTCTTGAAGGAGACTGGGAATTTTACAAGATGAAGAGCTATTGCCTGTTCAGTGAGTTTTCACTCAATCCTTCCATTTATTTCAGTGGACTGTACATACATATTTTTATCCCACCTCATTTAACTGTGTTCCAATGCCAGCTTGTACCAGTCTTTTATTCTGAGGTTAATTTTAATTGCAGATGTAAAATACCTTGAAGGACTCAGTCGAATAATTTCCTCTCATAAACCAGGCAATAAATAGGCATCAGGTAACTATTTATGAACCATAACTACCCCTCAACAGCACAAAGGCACACGGGGGCTCCAGTGTCGTGGTTTGACTGACAGGGATGTGGATGCTGATGAAGAGATTTTCCTTCCATGCCTCTGAGCCCTATGGAGATGATCCCTCTAGTGGGGATTTGGAAAATTAACTGGTGGTGCTGCTTGGCAGTGCAGGAAGGCTAAGGAGGGAACAAATGAAAAAGTTGCCCAATGTTAGCGGGGGAAAAACCGCCAAACAATGAAAGAGACAGCTGTATTTTCTTCAGATAAAATTACCACTGAAATAAGATTTTAAGGTAGTTGTTATGAGATGTAGTAAACATCGTCATAATGCTCATTCAGTAATTTCTTCAAAACACTTTAAAACAGTTTTATTTAGTTTTTTTTTTTTTTTAAATACTGAGGTTGGTTTTTTATGTATTATCATCTCCTTGGGAGAGAAAAAGAATAAATTATTTATAAATTACTGTCTGAATGATCAGGGGGAAAAAATTGTGAGTTCTTCCTTAAGATGAAAGCATAAAGTCATTTTATGGAACCAACAATTTAATTTTTCAAGATATTTCAAAAATATTTCCAAGAGATTCAAAGAATTTCCTACCAGGAAAAAAAAAAAAAGGCAGGATCTGTGCTCTGATTGCAGGTTCTACCTGCTTCTGGTCCATCATGTGCCTCTTGTTACTGTCATTACTCACAGCACCTCTTAAGAGCAGGGCGTAAAGCACGGAGCTTGCTGCTCCCCCCTGGCCCTGAGGTGTGTTCTCTCTGCACATTGAGCATGGGACAATCCTGGACAGTGTCTGATGGAGGTCACAGGTGTCTGTTAACTGTAGCTGCCTTGAAGAAATAATTTGTAGTGAACATTTTCTTGTTGCTGTTACTGTGAAAAGACTTTGTGGCAGCAGTGAGCTCCTCCCTGTATGACCTGGTGTTGTATCACTTCACGCTTTCCTGAAGGATCAACAGTGTCACCCTGTGTTGCACCAAGTGTTCCCTTGTGTAAGGATAAATCTGACAGCTTTTGGATAAACATCCGGGTGACCCTAATGCCACTGCTGGATCACAGCTCTCGTTGCAGACTCTTGCTTGGCTCACTGGAAGATGTGGCTGTAGACAGGAGTTATGATACCAAAATCTGGTTCCTTTTGGACTTGTCCTTTACCTCCCTTCAACATCGAAAAGAACTTCTTTTTTTTTTTTTTTTTTTTTTCAAAAAGAAGAAAAATAGTAAGTTTTATTTCTGACTTAGCAATATATAGAATTCTAAAAGTGACAGTGGATTGGAGGATGAAATTCCCACCTCTCCAATTATACTGGTTAAACTCACAGTCTATCAATTCTCTCCTCCCACAAAGAAGAATGTAAAACAATCATTATTTACATGAATAGTGTGTGAGAACTGTAGTAGAAATATGTAAACATTAGAAAGCATAGAAAACTTTTAAAATAACTTTAAAACTTTTAAAAAACAGGGTGATACTCCATCTCTGGCCAGGGGCATCTTGCAGTAATTCTTTCAAGCAGAACATGGCTTGCAGGTAGAACATGTTGTTGGTTTTGTAGAGGTTCCTCTGGCATGTGGAGATACTTTATTGTTTTGCTGCATATTTTTGTTCTGTTAATAAAGGTGCAAGTTTAGTAGCGACTTTTTACTAGAAGGAACTGGATCAGGTTCTTACAGAATTCATTGGCACAAATTAGTTTTGTGTTTGGGACTCAAATTCGGGGAAATTAAAGCCTAATGTCCTGTCTTGAAAAGGTAAAATGAAAACCAGTGAAGTTTACAATGCATTGCCTACTTATCTGAAGACTTATAAAACTGATTTCTATACAATCTATTTTTGCAAACTTCAGTGGTCTTCTAGTACCTGAAGGGAGCCTACAAGAAGGATGGAGAGAGATCATTTGCAAGAGAATGTAGTGACAGGAAAAGGGGGAATGGCTACAAACTAAAAGAGAGTCGTTTTAGATTAGATATTAGGGAAAAAATCTTTACTGGGAGGGTGGTGAGGCACTGGAACATCTTTCCAAGAGAAGTTGTGGATGCCTCATCCCTGGAAGTGTTCAAGACTAGGTTGGATGGGGCTCTGAACAACCTAGTCTAGTGAATGTGCCCCTGCCCATGTCAGGGGTTGGATGAAGATGATCTTGAAAGTTCCTTCCATCACAAACCATTATAGAATTCATTACCCTTATATGATATAAGCCCTAAGTAATCAGCATTAGTATGTTAATTAATGTAATGATATGTTTGTGCTGAGGAATAGGTTATATAGGCTAATGATGCCCAAACTCTGTTCTTTGGTTGTTTTGAGTTGTATCTAGTGAACAGGAAGTGAAAGCAATTTATGCAATTATGTGGATGGTGCAAACGATCAGACCTGACAGACCATGGATTTCAGGGGGTGCTGTTATATGCCTCAAATATACTCTTAGGCTGGCAGTTGACTTTCAATGACCCAAAGAACCCACAGACCACCTCAAAATACATCACCACAGGGTTTCCCCATGGTTGAGAGTTTTTGTTGGGTTAGTTTTTATTTTTTTTTTAATTATAGGTTATACCCTGGCAGACCTAGGGGTGCAATGTAACCTTGTAATTGGCAATCACAAAACTCTGCCCTGCTTACTAAAATGTCAACAACGTACTCATCAAATGCTATCAAGGTTGCCATAAAGTAGAGCTTATGTGGGGATTTTTGAAGCACTGGTGAAGTTTTGGTTTCAAGTACAAAAATCAGCCTAGTTCCACATTTTTTAGATATATGAATTTTTGGTAAATGTTGTCGTTGAGCAAGAGTGTTGTTTTGCAGGGTTGAGGATGAAAAGCTGCAATGAGTTTCTGAGCACAGGTGACAATCCGGTCTTTGAAGGTTTCATTGCACTCAGATGATTGGAGTATTGGAAGAACCAGATTTGAAAATATCAGGCTCAAGACAGGGCAGTTTAGCAAAGCAGCCATGTGGCTAGCTGGAAGAGCTCCAGGGAATAGACTCAGTTTGGGCTAAGTGTTAGCTGAGTAAGGCATGACTAATAAGATTTTTTAACAAAGCATTTTAGAGTCTGTTGAAACCATCTATTTCCCTTTAAGAAAATAAAACATTAGCAAGTTTTTCCACTAATTCTAAAATAAAGCTCACGGTCTCACATTTTGCTTGTGTGGTAGGAAACTCCCTACAGTTCACTTTGGAAACCTTTCACTTTGGAAACCTTTCTAGGATTTAATAATCATCAGTGAATTGAGCTACTGAGGTCATTAAGCATTCAGCTGTTCTGCCATCTCGGTGTACAAATGGGTGCCTGCTTTTCACATCAGCTGGGGTTAGAATGTTGGAGAGAAGAACACTGAATTAATTGGAAAATTAGCATAGATTGAATTACACTTGTGTGAGCTGTCAGTGATTTTGATGGAGAGGCTGCAAGTGTTTACTGGGGGATGCAGCAGTGTAGAGAGTGGGCATGGGCTTTAAATGCATGGGGACGGGAAAGTGTTTTGGATTTCTTGAGATGTAGGAGAGGTGGGATTTGTGCCATGGCATGAATAATACAGGGCATAATAATTTTTTTCCTTTTCCTCCAGTGGCTTTGTGTTTTGGTGCTAGGCATAATGCGAAGGGTAACCTTCAGTGACTGCAAGTGTGTTTCAGCAGGCTACTGATTAAAGATGTAACAGGATTGATTTACTTGGTTTAGACTTAGTAAGTTCTGTAGGTATAGGGCCAGGGGAAATGGTTCTAAAAGGAAACTGTAGATTTAGAGTAGATAAAAGGGCTGGCTGTAACCAGCTTGGATATGAGAGCCTTCAGCTTCCCTCAGCCCTGAACGAGGACAGGGTATGGAAATTTAGGTTTGCTTGTGCTTATTAATGTTATAGCTCAAGGTGTGCTCTGTGTGTGGGATTTTCAACTCCCTCTCCTAACTTTTCTTCTTCTATTAGGATTTTTAGAGAATAAAGAACATTTTGGACTCTGATGAGATGTGAAAATTGGACCAGATACATGAAAAAATACAAGTAATGGCATTGGTGTCTACTGCAAAGCACAATGCCTATTTTGCCACTGAGGAGAGGGGGAAATGACATAAGAAAGAAGTGTCAGTGTTGTAAAAAAGCAACACTTCTCACAAATGGTTACTATGGGAGGCATTTATCTTGTGTACAGTAAGGCAGTAATGTCTCCCGGGAGTTTTCAGCAAATACTGAAGCCTTAACAAAAATATTTTCCTATTCTCTTCCTAGGCTTGATGTACCAGGTTCCTCCAGCCCATGGTGGCTCAGAGCACTCTCCTCTCTGACCAGGTACTTTGGAGCTCTTTGGAGCCACTCTGTCCTTTGGTGCCTAATGGGTCTTGCCCAGGAGTTGGAATTGCACTGAAAAGCTGATTCACTTTGAACACAGGTAATTTTATTTCAACAACTTAGTCAGCTCCAGTGTTTTTCTGCACACAGGAGAGGAGTGTGGTCAGGACAGAGCAGGATTTTAACCCTGAGGCTGCCTTTGGATCAGCAGGCATTGCCCCAGCAGGAAATAGTTGCGGTGCACTGCATTGTGCCCTGGATCCTGCCTGTCTTGCTGCTCAAGCTGTGTTTTGTCCAAGGACATCATGAAGGAGCTTCTTCACCTTAGTAAAGAAGTCTACCAGCTTGTTGACTGGAAATGGGCAGGAGCTAACCTCACCCAATGGTGTTGGCTCTGGGGTGGGGGGTGCTGTCGGCCAAGGCTTTTGAGAGGGGATTGGTGTTGGCAATGTATTATAAGTGGGGGGTCGTGTTGGCCATGGCTTAGGAGTGGGAGGGTGTGTTGGCAATGTATTATAAGTGGGGGGTCGTGTTGGCCATGGCTTAGGAGTGGGAGGGTGTGTTGGCAATGTATTATAAGTGGGGGGTCGTGTTGGCCATGGCTTAGGAGTGGGAGGGTGTGTTGGCAATGGATTATAAGTGGGGGGTTGTGTTGGCCATGGCTTAGGAGTGGGAGGTGGTGTTGGCCATGTGTTATGAATGGGGGGTCGTGTTGGCCATGGGTTAAGAGTGGGAAGTAGTGTTGGCCATGGCTTAATAGTGGGAATGGGTTGTGCTGGCCATGGCATATGAGTGGGAAGGGGATGTGTTGGCCATGGTTTCAGAGTTGGTAGATGAGCTGTCACAAAATTACTCCAGGTTTGTGATGCTGGAGAACCCTTTCCCAATGTGTTTGCGCCTGTGTGGACCAGGATCCAGTCATAGAAGTGCTGAGTGGAGATGTAGACTCCAGGCTGCCTTGCTCTGGCACAGCCTTTTCCCCAGCTGGTCAATCCAACAACCCACCAGGAGTCTGTATTGTTGTCCTGGCACATGAGAGGACCACCGCTGTCACCCTGCAGCAGAGCACAGAGCATTAATGGGGTGTTAAATGTGGCACCTGCCAGCACTGGGGCTGTCTCCTTCTCTCTCATCCCCTCTGGGCAGAGGAATGCTCTGCTCAGGGGCTGGAGCCTCCAGAAATTTGGCTGTGAATGACTTGAGTTCTTGTAGGGTAGGGCTCTCTTTGTTGTCTCTGCACAGGGCTCCTGGATGTGCAGAGGATGGATGTTTGGCACAAGGGGACCTCTGGGCTACCAGGAGCACTTTAACTGGGTTTTCTGGGCTTTTGGCACAAGGGGAGCCCTGGGCAGGCAGGGGTGGATGGGGAGTGTGTGGGAAGCCCCCAGAGCAGTCGGGGGGAGCTGGGGCTGGGAGGATGACTGAGTGGCTGGACAGAGCAGGCCCTGGGCTGTGTTGGGGCGGTGCTGCTGGGGGCTGAGTGGCTCATGGCACGCTCCTTCTTACCTGGCAGGTGTCGATCTTGCCCTCTGGGTATCCAGCACACAAGTTGTGGGTGTGGATTTCTCCTGCGTACCAGTCACTGCTGTTGCAGAGCTGGACATCGATAAGCTGGACCTTGGCCTCCTGAAGCTGATCAGCTGAATCTTGAGCTGTGAGCAGAGAAAGGAATAAACCTTGAGCACCACATTTCCCATTCTCCTCTCCTGACTTGGGAAGGGCATTCTCTTCCCTAGGGTTTGGCTTTGCCTCTTCAGAGGCACTGGGGCACTGTGTCCCTGCCTTTGGGGAACAGACCAGGCCTGTCTCTGCAGAGGTGTAGATTCTGCAGCCTGGCTTTGGCCTCTGCTATGAGGGGAAACCCAAACCCTCTCCCCATTGTGGTGAGCTGGCCCAGGAGTTGCTCTTGGAACTCACATCTTGCAGCAGTGGCACCCCAGCCAGCAATCCAGCAGTTCTGCAGCTCTGACACTTTCAGTGTGATGTCGGGCACACAGGCCAGCTGGATGTAGGGGCTGCACTGGACAGGATGGTCCAATTGCATCAGGGCAATGTCGTAGCTCATGTCAGCAGGATTGTAGTATGGATGTATCAGCACCTTCTTGACGCTGCGCACTTTTGCCCCATGGCCTGGCTGAGTCAACTGGGTGGCCCCAATCACCACAGACAGCAGGCTGATGTTACTGCAAAGGAGATGGAGAGAGGGCTGAGAGGCAGAAGAGCCACAGTGCCACACAGCCCAGCAGATGTGAGGCCTCTGCTTGGCAAGGCAGAGAGGAGGCAGTGCTCTGGCAGGTGTGAGTGCCCTCGCACACCTTAGGCTGGGGAATGTCAAGCTGGAGGCTGCAAGGAAGCCTTGGCATGAGCCCAGGCTTTTCCTGAGCAGTGTGGCAGCCTGGCTGCCTGAGAGGAAAGGGGATGGGAGCAGCAGGTGGTGCTGCTGACAGGGCACCTGCTGGTGTTGTGGGGATGTCCCCATTCCCTGCTCATCCTTACTCAAACTTGTCGAAGCAGTGGGCTGCTGTGAGGACCCACTGTGTGCTGATGAGGGATCCCCCACATAGATGTCCCAGGCCTGGTACCCAGGGGTGCTGGATGCTGACGATCCAGGGCCAGGCCCCTGGCAGGGCACCGGAGCCACCCACGATGCGTGTCATGCCAGAGTCATAAGCCACGTCGCCGTAGTAGTACTCCATGAGGCCGTAGTCAGACACCACAGCTCGGAGCCCACAGCTCCCTCTGTAAGCAGAAAGTCATTTCCGTGCTGCTTCATGGCCTGCTGTGGCTCAGGCTGAAGCTCAGCCCTCTGCCCTCCCCACAAGGGCTTGCACGCCCTGCAGGCCAGGGAAGCCCATGGGGTGTGCGTCTGTCCGTGCCAGCACCTGGCTGCTGGCAAGGAGCTGAGGCTCCCCATGGTGGGTGGGAAGCTGTGGCCCGGCCATGGGGGACAGGCGGGTCCCCTCCAGGGAAGGCCCCAAGTGTTGCCCTGGCTCCCTGCCAGGGCCTGGGGACACTCACCCGCAGTTGTCCCATGTCCCCTCTGCCAGCCCAGCCAGGGTCAGCAGGACGAGGAGGCCGAGCCAATTCATGGCTGCCAGAGGCACGTGTCAGCTGCAAGCACTGAGAGCTCCGTGCAGCAGCACAGCCACAGCCGCAGTGCCCGCAGCAGCCGCGCTGCCCGTGGAGCCCTCGGCCCCGGGGCTGATGTCACAGAGAGGTGGGTTCCATGTTCTGGGCACTGTGGGGATCTGTGTCATGGGGCCCACTGGGGGAGGGGCTTGGTGAGCCCCTATTTGGTCAGCCATGAAATGGTTTGGGGTGGAAGGGACCTTGGTGATCATCTAGCTCCAACCCCACTGCCTTGAGCATGGAGGGATGGCCTGCAGTAGGCCCCGCTGTCCACAGTGTGCATGTCTTGGCTCAGAAGTTTTCTTGAATACTTTGAGAGATGGGGCATTGAAGTACTAAGTCCTGATCAACAGGTCCTGACTAAGGCCAGAACAACAAGCCTTTAGCCAAAATTGACTATTAAATGGACCCTCAAAACAAATGTTATTTATATCCAGCCACTGGAGAAACATGGATTTACCTTTCCATACTTAGGAACTGGACAAGCCACATCTGGCCTTGGTTTGGGCATGTGGGATCACAGACAAATTTGTTGGTTTCTCAAGGAGCACTCCCAGGCCTCAGGAACATCCCAGTAGGACACTGAAACCAGATGTTACTGCACTAGAAGTTTTGCTATTTTGCTTATTCCACAGTATAAAAACGGGAACCTCTCACAGCACAGTCAGTAGCCTCACTGCCTGTAGGGGAAGGTACCTGCAGGATTTCCCAGTTGCTGTCAGTGGTTCCTCAGTCCTTCACTGTGACAGTGGCTTCCCCCCAGTTGATGGGCAGGCCTGGATAATGGTCAAGGATTAAGGGAACTTGTGATGTGTCTTTCTTCATGAGTGTAGTCAGTCTTGTATAGTAATGATTAGATGCATTGCCTGTCTTATCCTTTTCTAAATATTTACTAATGATTTGATGTCCTGTTTACTTATGCATTTACAATTCTTTGCAGTTTTGAATTATAGTAAATTAAATTTATTCGTGAAATTGGTATCTGTGTCTTCTGTGCTGACCCTACTTACACAAAAAACAGGCATCCACAGCTGTTCTGGGGTGCCAGTATCTCAGCAGCCTCACAGTAAAAAATTCCTTCATATGATCTCATCTAAAGCTACCCTCTTGTTGGAACTCAAAATGTCCCTCAGACATTTTTAGATGTTCCAGGTCCAAGTCAGAAGCATTTAAGACCCTGGCAGGCAGCTAGAAACAGCTGTGATTTTCGATTTGAACAATGAAACAATTTACCAACCTTGCAAGAAGAGCAAGAAGTCACAAAAGTTTAGATATTATAGTAGAAATAGTCACAAAGTAGAAAGAAGAATTTTGAGTGCTGTACAAGGGAGTTTTAGGTCTTGTACATAAGAGTCAGAAGTTTTAGAATAGAAAGATTTAGGCCTGCCCTGTCCTCCCTTTTTCTTCTCCCTCACCTCCATGCTCTTAGTGATGTTAACACTCACAAATTAGTTTAGAGTAGAAAAGCAAAATTTAATATAGGCAATAAGCATTAAGGACATTTAACGCATAATGTATCATATAAAAGATAGCACCAGCCCTAGGCGGGAAGAGAGAAGAAAAAGACAAGAGTCAAGGAGGATGTCTGAGAGTGTATGTGCCTTTGCCTGAGCTGCTGAGCAAACTGCAGCAGCTCAAGAAGAAAATCTTTTAGATAACTTGCAATAAACTACCTTGGGACCGGAAAACAGAAGACTACTGAGTTTAATAGCACGGGTTGAAGAAAAGACTTGTCCACTACACGGAGCCACCCCGACCTAGAGGTGAGCTCCAGCACCCTCTGTCATTGTAAGGCCATTCCCCCTTGTTCTCTCAGGACCTGCCCTTGTAACAAGGCTCTCTGCTGCTTTCTTTAGGCCCCTCTTCTTGCAGGATGAGGCTGTGCAGCCCCCGGGGCAGGCAGTGGCTGAGGAATCCATTGGGGGCAGGGAGCTGGGTGTGCAGCTGCAGTGCCAGCTGCAGATTGAGCTCTGGCTGGCAGGAGCCCAGGACCAGAGGCTGTGAACTGCCCATGCTTTGCATTACAGAGGGCACAGGGAGCTGTGGCACTGGCCAGGATTTCAATGGACACTGAGCACTGCAGCAGGAGCTGGTGTCTCTTTATGGAACACGACATCTGCGAGTCTGCTGGGGAATCCTGAGGTTGAATGGGTTGGAAAGCTGCTCTGACTGGTGAGAGTGGTGTGGGTAGGGAATGAAATGGGGCAACCATTGGCTCATTGGAGTCACCTGTGCCTCTGGAATGGTCACAGAGGGGAGTTTCCTCAGCACTTTGGCAGCCCAGATGGGACCCAAGGGCAGTACTGCTGGAGCATTCGTCCTCCATTGCAGGTACTGGTGAGTTCACCTGGGATCTTTACAGTAGGAAGGAGCCAAATGGGGAGTGTTACAACTTCATGTGCAGACTCTGTGTAAATTATACAGGTGCATTTGAGCCTCTCTATTGTTGTGGCATTTGGTGCAGATTTGGTGAAATTACTGGTAGAGGGTTGAGGAGGCATGCACAGCATGATCAGTGTAAGGGTGACCACAGAGGAGTTGTGGAGGCCCTCATAAAGCACAAGGTGGGTGGCCCTGAGTCTCTGCTAGGACACTTGAGTCTCTGCTCAAAGGCTTTTGGAGACAGGCGCAGGGAGAACCTTGTGTCCCTTCTGCCACACACAATGGGTGCTAGGGTCCCTGGGCACACACAGAAGGGGGTGGAAGTCCCTTCACAAGGGACTCCTTCAGAAAGGGGTTTCACATGCCTTGATGTGTTTGATGTGATGGGAAAGATCCCTGGTTTAGGTAAGGAGATGTCTGTGGCTGAGGTTGCACAGAGCTGGGAGAAATTGTTTGTGCAGCATAATTTTCCAACACAACACAATAAAGTTGTTCCAGGATGGTTGGGTGACTCTAAGTGGTCTGCTCATTGGACAGGGTAATGGCCATCTCCAACCCTGAGTGACACTCTTTCACTCAGTGTCTTTAGTACCATGCAGGCCCTGAAATTTACTTCAGGAAATATTTGCCAGGGTGGCAGGGACCCGTACAGATGTGGGATGGCTGTTGTCAGCACAGCCCTTCTTGATTAACACAGAGAGAAGAGTGCCACCCACTGTGAGACAGGACTCCATTGACCAGGTGATGCCAGATTTATTTTTGCCTGTTTTCTTTTATATATTCTCTGTATTCTTTACACATATATTTGTAGCTCTGTAGCCTGTTGTTGTGTCTGTGTCTAGTTTTCCCTACCTTTTCCCTAAGCAGAAAGACAAAGCATATTTCAGAGCTCCGTGCCCTGGAGAGTACAAGGCCCCTAATCCTATCTTGGTTCTTCGTGGGAACCAAGGCTGGAAACAGCTCTTTGAGGTGCATTTTCATAAACAAAGTTTAGTTTCTATCTGGGTAGGGGGCGGGGGAGGCTTTAGAGATGGTTGAACCAAGGGAGGAATTACTTCACAATTTGAGATCCTAATTGGTGATTTTTGTCAAATATGCTAATTTGCTAAGCTTATAAAATTATTCACCTCATGTGGGGGAGGAATTCTGTGGACATTTGCCATATCTGCCACAGGAGGCCTCCAATAAAGATCAGCCTTTATATTATATACTATATTATATACTATACTATAATGTTCCTATACTAACATTATGTCAAAGACGTGCTGTTTTGCTTCTAGGTTCTTTAAGGCATCACTTGAAGCCAGGAAGAGTATCCAGAAGCAGGCAGAGTGGCACTTAGCCCAAGGCATTTTGAAGCATTACATTAGATGGAGAAAGTCAATGTTCACGTGCCTTCACCTGGAAAAGACAGGTGAAAACTGCCTTCAACAAGACTACCCCAAGGCAGTCTACCAAGTCTACCCTTTAACAAGTCTCCCCACCCAACAGAACCAAAGTTTGATTGAAAAGGGCAAAAATTTGGTGCAGATTGGTACAATTAGTGGACGATTTGTTAATTAGTGAGTTGAGATAAAAGGATCTTTCCCATCCTGTGGTGATTCTGTGCAGCACTTAGGAAAACAAATACATCAAACTGCAGTTTGTGTCTCTGCAGCTGACTCTTTGATTACTCCTTCTCTTCATTTGCCAGGCTTATACAGCCTCTCCTCTTCCTCGACTCCTCCCTTTCTCTTCCCTCATCTCCTCCCTGAGCCAAGCCCAGGGATCATTTCCCCCTGGCTCACAGGTTGGCTCTGCCCGTGAACAGCCTTGGTGTTGCAGGTGGTGTTGGCCCACACACTTTGGCCTTCCATGGCATTCCTGGTGTGCTTTCCTACTGTTCCTGCCAGGTTCCCCTCCCCAGAATGACCCAGCTCTTCCTTTGAGTATCTGTGAAGTGTAACTATCTGGCACATCAATCCTTCTTTGCTGCCCATGAAATCTGGCTCTGCCTTAGGGCACTGGCACTCCAGTCAGGAGCCAGGAGTTTCCCTTGTCATGCCTGGGAGTTTCCCAGATGTGTTCCCTTAGGTCAGGCTCACATCAGCCCCTAAATCCGCAGCCCATGTGCATTAGAGCATTGCCTCCAAGGTGTCTGCTTTTTTCCTATTCTCTTATGAGGCTTGATGTACCAGGTTCCCGAGCCCACAGTGGCCCAGAGCACTCTCCTCTCTGACCAGGCACTCTGGAGCTCTTTGGAGCCACTCTGTCCCTTGGTGCCCCCAGGCTCAATCTGCAGGTGCTGAGCATGGCACTTCTTGTCTTGCTCAGGAGTTAGAATTGCACTGAAAAGACGGTTCTCTGTGAACCAAGGTAACTTTATTTCAACAACTAAATCAACTCCAGTGTCTGTGTGCACAGAGGAGTGTGGTCAGGACAGAGCAGGGTTTTGACCCTGAGGCTGCCTTTGGATCAGCAGGAAATGGTTGTGGTGCACTGCAGCCTGCCCTGGATCCTGCCTTTCCTGCTGCTCAAGGAGCACTTTTAATTGAGTTTATACGTATGTTGTAATCGATCCAGTCATAGAAGTGCTGAATGGAGATGTAGACTCCAGGCTGCCTTGCTCTGGCACAGCCTGTTCCAAAGCTGGTTAGTCCAATGACCCACCAGTACTCAGCATTGTTGTCCTGGCACATGAGAGGACCACCGCTGTCACCCTGCAGCAGAGCACAGAGCATTAATGGGGATATGGTGGCACCTGCCAGCACTGGGGCTGTCTCCTTCTCTCTCACATCCCCTCTGGGCAGAGGAATGCTCTGCTCAGGGGCTGGAGCCTCCAGAAATTTGGCTGTGAATGACTTGAGTTCTTGTAGGGTAGGGATCTCTTTGTTGTCTCTGCACAGAGCTCCTGGATGTGCAGAGGATGGATGTTTGGCACAAGGGGACCTCTGGGCTACCAGGAGCACTTTAACTGGGTTTTCTGGGCTTTTGGCACAAGGGGAGCCCTGGGCAGGCAGGGGTGGATGGGGAGTGTGTGGGAAGCCCCCACAGCAGTCTGTGGGGGAGCTGGGGCTGGGAGGGCGACTGAGTGGCCGGGCAGAGCAGGCCCTGGGCTGTGTTGGGGCGGTGCTGCTGGGGGCTGAGTGGCTCATGGCACGCTCCTACCTTGCAGGAATCGATCTTGCCCTCTGGGTATCCAGCACACAAGTTGTAGGGATGGACTTCCCCTGCGTACCAGTCACTGCTGTTGCAGAGCTGGACATTGATAAGATGGACCTTGGCCTGCTGAAGGCGATCAGCTGAATCTAGATCTGTGAGCAGAGAAAGAAGTAAGCCCCCAGCAGAACCATGCCAGTTCTTCTTCCCTGTCTGGGGAATCCCCTTTCCTAGGGCCAGGCCCACCTCTGCAGAGGTGTATGTCCTGCAGCCTGGCTTCGGCCTCTGCTGTGGGGAAGCCCAAACCCTCTCCCCAGTGTGCTGAGCTGGCCCAGAAGTTGCTCTTGGTACTCACTTCTTGCCTTAGTGACACCCCAGCCAGCAATCCAGCAGTTGTGCAGGGCTGAGACACTTAGGGTGGGCTCAGCCAAACAGGCCAGCTGGATGTAGGAGCTGCACAGGACAGGACGGTCCAATTGCATCAGGGCAATGTCGTAGCTGTAGTCGCTACGCCTGTAGTCGCTGTGTATCACCACCTTCTTGACACTGCGCACTTGTGCCCCAGGGCCTGGCTGAGTCAACTGCGTGGCCCCAATCACTACGTACAGCAGGCTGATGTTACTGCAAAGGAGATGGAGAGAGGGCTGAGAGGGAGTCTCAGCAGCCCTGCAGTTGTCTCTGCATGGCAAGGCAGAGAGGGAGCAGTGCTCTGGCAGGTGTGAGTGCCATCGCACACCTTAGGCGGGGGAATGTCAAGCTGGAGGCTGCAAGGAAGCCTTGGCACAGGCCCAGGCTTTTCCTGAGCATTGTGGCAGCCTGGCTGCCTGAGGGGAAAGGGGATGGGAGCAGCAGGTGGTGCTGCTGACAGGGCACCTGCTGGTGTTGTGGGGATGTCCCCATTCCCTGCTCCTCCTTACTCAAACTTGTCGAAGCAGTGGGCTGCTGTGAGGACCCAATCTGCAGTGATGAGGGACCCTCCACACCAGTGTCCCAGGCCTGGTACCCAGGGGTGCTGGATGCTGACGATCCAGGGCCATTCTGCTTCCGCGGCACTGGCGCCACCCACGATGCGTGTCATGCCGTAGTCATAAGCCACGTCGCCGTAGGAATAAGTCATGGGGCTGTTGACAGGTGGCGGAACTCGGAGCCCACAGCTCCCTCTGCAAGCAGAAAGTCATTTCTGTGCTGCTTCATGGCCTGCTGTGGCTCAGGCTGAAGCTCAGCCCTCTGCCCTCCCCACAAGGGCTTGCACGCCCTGCAGGCCAGGGAAGCCCATGGGGTGTGCGTCTGTCCGTGCCAGCACCTGGCTGCTGGCAAGGAGCTGAGGCTCCCCATGGTGGGTGGGAAGCTGTGGCCCGGCCATGGGGGACAGGCGGGTCCCCTCCAGGGAAGGCCCCAAGTGTTGCCCTGGCTACCTCCCAGGGCCTGGGGACACTCACCCGCAGGTGTACTGGATGCTCTGTGCCAGCCCAGCCAGGGTCAGCAGGACGAGGAGGCCGAGCCAATTCATGGCTGCCAGAGGCACGTGTCAGCTGCAAGCACTGAGAGCTCCGTGCAGCAGCACAGCCACAGCCGCAGTGCCCGCAGCAGCCGCGCTGCCCGTGGAGCCCTCGGCCCCGGGGCTGATGTCACAGAGAGGTGGGTTCCATGTTCTGGGCACTGGGGGGATCTGTGTCATGGGGCCCACTGGGGGAGGGGCAGCATCTAATTGATGAACCATGAAATGCTTTGGGGTGGTAGGGACTTCAGAAATTTTCTCGCTCTGACCTCCTTGCCTTGGGCATGGAGGGTTAGCTTGCACTGAAAGTGTTTTTCAGAGTCCCCCAGCTGATGGGCCGACCTGGATGATGGTCAAGGATTAGGGTAATTTGTGATGTGTCTTTCTTCATCACTGTAGGCAGTGTTTTATAATAATGATTAGACGCATTGCCTATCTTATCCTTTTGTATTTTTTGCTAATGATTTTATGTCCTGCTTACTTATCAATTTGCAATTCTTTGCTGTTTATGATCCCTATGTTTTAGCTTTTATATTTTTCTGATTCTCTGCTGCCTTGGTGTGTAACTTTGAAATTCATATTAAGTGTAAATAAGTTCTCTTCACAGGGTAGTTAGACGAAACAATCCCTTCTCAACTTGAGAATCAAGGACAACCATTACCCAAAAATAACTGTGAAGTGAAAGGGGCAAGCCAACATGTTGAGACTTCATGACCTGAAGCTGTAATTGGATAGTTAATTCCAATATGTAAATGGAACAAAACTTATAAAAGTTTAAAAACTGGTGACCAAGACCCATCTTAGATACAACCTGGGTGTAGCCCTGGCCAAGCTCTTGTACTACCCAAGGTCCTTAAAGGTCCTTAAAGACCCTTAAAGGCCTTTCAATAAATATTTACTTTATTCATTTAAATCTGTCTAGTCTCTGTTCCAGACAAACTTCCTCAGGCATCATTTTGAATTAGAGTAAATTACATTTATTCCTGAAATTGGTATCTGTGTCTTCTGTGCTGACGCTACTTACACAAAAAACAGGCATCCACAGCTGCTCTGGGGTGCCAGGATCTCAGCAGCCTCACAGTCAAGAATTCCTTCATATGATCTCATCTAAAGCTACCCTATGTCAATGTAAAGCCCCTGCCCCTTGTCCTCTCAGGACCTGCCCTTGTAACAAGGCTCTCTGCTGCTTTCTTTAGGCCCCTCTTCTTGCAGGATGAGGCTGTGCAGCCCCCGGGGCAGGCAGTGGCTGAGGAATCCATTGGGGGCAGGGAGCTGGGTGTGCAGCTGCAGTGCCAGCTGCAGATTGAGCTCTGGCTGGCAGGAGCCCAGGACCAGAGGCCATGAACTGCCCATGCTTTGCATTACAGAGGGCACAGGGAGCTGTGGCACTGGCCAGGATTTCAATGGACACTGAGCACTGCAGTAGAAACTGGTGTCTCTTTATGGAACGTGACATCTGCGAGTCTGCTGGGGAATCCTGAGGTTGAATGGGTTGGAAAGCTGCTCTGACTGGTGAGAGTGGGTAGGGAATGAAATGGGGCAACCATTGGCTCGTTGGAGTCACCTGTGCCTCTGGAATGGTCACAGAGGGGAGTTTCCTCAGCACTTTGGCAGCCCAGATGGGACCCAAGGGCAGTACTGCTGGAGCATTCGTCCTTCATTGCAGGTACTGGTGAGTTCACCTGGGATCTTTACAGTAGGAAGGAGCCAAATGGGGAGTGTTACAACTTCATGTGCAGACTCTGTGTAAATTATACAGGTGCATTTGAGCCTCTCTATTGTTGTGGCATTTGGTGCAGATTTGGTGAAATTACTGGTAGAGGGTTGAGGAGGCATGCACAGCATGATCAGTGTAAAGTGGCCACAGAGGAGTTGTGGAGGCCCTCATAAAGCACAAGTCTCTGCTAGGACACTTGAGTCTCTGCTCAAAGGCTTTTGGAGACAGAAAGAGGGAGACCCTTGTGTCCCTTGTGCCAGGATGCTAGGGTCCCTGGGCAGGGATTCCATTGGCCTGGAAGCCAAGAATAATTTCCAGAAGCAGACAGACTGACACAGCACAAGGCATTCTGAACCTTCCATTAGATGGAGAAAGTAAATGTTCACTTGCCTTCACCTGGATAAGTTAGCAATTGCCTTCAACAAGACTTCCCCATGGAATCCCTCCACCATTTTTCATTCTGTCTCCTACCTCACTAAATATTGAGGTTTTATTGAAAGTATATAAAATTAAGGGGAGAATTTGTACTGTTTGTAGAGGATTTGTTAATTAGTGAGTTGAGATAAGAAGGTTCTTTCCCATCCTGTGGTGATTCTGTGCAGCACTCAGGAAAACAAGTCTCTTTGATTGCTCCATCTCTTGCTTGGCCAGGCTTATACAGCACCTCAACTCCTCCCTTTCTTGGCCCTCATCTCCTCCCAAATATGGAGCCAAAAGCCCAGGGATCATTTCCCCCTGGCTCATAGGTTGGCCCTGCCTGTGAACAGCCTTGGTGTTGCAGGTGGTGTTGGCCCACACACTTTGGCCTTCCATGGCATTCCTGGTGTGCTTTCCTACTGTTCCTGCCAGGTTCCCCTCCCCAGAATGACCCCAGCTCTTCCTTTGAATATCTGTGAAGTGTGACCACCTGGCACATCAATCCTTCTTTGCTGCCCATGAAATCTGGCTCTGCCTTAGGGCACTGGCACTCCAGTCAGGAGCCAGGAGTTTCCCTTGTCATGCCTGGGAGTTTCCCAGATGTGTTCCCTTAGGTCAGGCTCACATCAGCCCCTAAATCCGCAGCCCATGTGCCTTAGAGCATTGCCTCCAAGGTGTCTGCTTTTTTCCTATTCTCTTATGAGGCTTGATGTACCAGGTTCCTCAGCCCACAGTGGCCCAGAGCACTCTCCTCTCTGACCAGGCACTCTGGAGCTCTTTGGAGCCACTCTGTCCCTTGATGCCCCCAGGCTCAATCTGCAGCTGCTGAGCATGGCACTTCTTGTCTTGCTCAGGAGTTAGAATTGCAGTGAAAAGACGGTTCTCTGTGAACCAAGGTAACTTTATTTCAACAACTAAATCAACTCCAGTGTCTGTGTGCACAGAGGAGAGGAGTGTGGTCAGGACAGAGCAGGGTTTTGACCCTGAGGCTGCCTTTGGATCAGCAGGAAAGGGTTGTGGTGCACTGCAGCCTGCCCTGGATCCTGCCTTTCCTGCTGCTCAAGGAGCACTTTTAATTGCATTTACACGCATGTTGTAATCAATCCAGTCAAAGAAGTATTGAGTAGAGGTATAGACTCCAGGCCTCATTGCTCTGGCACAGCCTTTCCCAAAGCTGGTCAATCCAACAACCCACCAGAAGTCTGCATAGTTGTCCTGGCACATGAGAGGACCACCGCTGTCACCCTGCAGCAGAGCACAGAGCATTAAGGGAGTGTTGGTGGTACCTGCCAGCACTGGGGCTGTCCCCTTCTCTCTCTCACATCCCATCTTGGCAGAGGAATGCTCTGCTACATGGCTGGAGCCTCCAGAAGCTTGGCTGTGAATGAATTGAGCTCTTGTAGGATAGGGCTCTCTCTGTCATCTCTGCAGAGGGCTCCTGGATGTGCAGAGGATGGATGTTTGGCACCTGGACCTCTGGGCTACCAGGAGCACTTTAACTGGGTTTTCTGGCCTTTGGCACAAGGGGAGCCCTGGGCAGGCAGGGGTGGATGGGGAGTGTGTGGGAAGCCCCCAGAGCAGTCAGGGGGAGCTGGGGCTGGGAGGGCGACTGAGTGGCCGGGCAGAGCAGGCCCTGGGCTGTGTTGGGGCGGTGCTGCTGGGGGCTGAGTGACCCATGGCACGCTCCTTCTTACCTGGCAGGTGTCGATGAGGCCCTGTGGGTATCCCGCACACAAGTTGTGGGTGTGGATTGCTCCTGCGTACCAGTCACTGCTGTTGCAGAGCTGGACATCGATGAGCTGGACCTTGGCCTCCTGAAGTCGATCAGGTGGACCTTGAGCTGTGAGCAGAGAAAGGAATGAGCCGCCAGCAGCTCCATGCCAGTTTGCTCATCTGTCTGGAGGGGATCCCTTTCCTTAGGGTTTGGCTTTGCCTCTTCAGAGGCACTGGGGCACTGTGACCCTGCTGCCAGGTTTTGGGGAGCAGGCCAGGCCCATCTTGACAGAGGTGTATGTCCTGCAGCCTGGCTTTGGCCTCTGCTATGAGGGGAAGCCCAACCCCTCTCCCCAGTGTGCTGAGCTGGCCCAGAAGTTGCTCTTGGAACTCACATCTTGCAGCAGTGGCACCCCAGCCAGCCACCCAGCAGTTGGTGAGGTCTGAGATTGTTAGGGTGGGCTCTGCCACACAGGCCCGCTGGATGTAGGAGCTGCACTGGACAGGATGGTCCAATTGCATCAGGGCAATGTCATAGCTGAAGTCGATTCGGCTGTAGTACGGGTGTGTCAGCACCTGCTTGACGCTGCGCACTGCAGCCCCAGGGCCTGGCTGAGTGAACTGGGTGGCCCCAATCACCACGTAGAACAAACTGACATTACTGCAAAGGAGATGGAGAGAGGGCTGAGAGGGAGCAGAGCCACAATGCTACAGCAGCCCAGCAGTTTTCAGACCTCTGCATGGCAAGGCAGAGAGGAGGCAGTGCTCTGGCAGGTGTGAGTGCCCTCGCATGCCTTGGGCTGGGGAATTTCAAGTTGGAGGCTGCATGGAAGCCTTGCCATGAGCCCAGGCTTTTCCTGAGCATTGTGGCAGCCTGGCTGCCTGAGGAGAAAGGGGATGGGAGCAGCAGGTGGTGCTGCTGACAGGGCACCTGCTGGTGTTGTGGGGATGTCCCCATTCCCTGCTTCTCCTTACTTGAATTTGTCAAAGCAGTGAGCTGCTGTGAGGACCCATTCTGAACTGATGAGGGATCCCCCACATAGATGTCCCAGGCCTGGTACCCAGGGGTGCTGGATGCTGACCATCCATGGCCAGGCTGCTTCCGCGGCACCGACGCCACCCACGATGCGTGTCATGCCGTAGTCATAAGCCACATCGCCGTAAGGATAAGTCATGGGGCTATAGACAGATTGTGGAGCTCGGAGCCCACAGGTTCCTCTGCAAGCAGAAAGTCATTTCTGTGCTGCTTCATGGCCTGCTGTGGCTCAGGCTAAGCTCAGCCCTCTGCCCTCCCCACAAGGGCTTGCACGCCCTGCAGGCCAGGGAAGCCCATGGGGTGTGCGTCTGTCCGTGCCAGCACCTGGCTGCTGGCAAGGAGCTGAGGCTCCCCATGGTGGGTGGGAAGCTGTGGCCCGGCCATGGGGGACAGGCGGGTCCTCCCCAGGGAAGGCCCCAAGTGTTGCCCTGGCTCCCTCCCAGGGCCTGGGGACACTCACCCGCAGTTGTCCCATGTCCCCTCTGCCAGCCCAGCCAGGGTCAGCAGGACGAGGAGGCCGAGCCAATTCATGGCTGCCAGAGGCACGTGTCAGCTGCAAGCACTGAGAGCTCCGTGCAGCAGCACAGCCACAGCCGCAGTGCCCGCAGCAGCCGCGCTGCCCGTGGAGCCCTCGGCCCCGGGGCTGATGTCACAGAGAGGTGGGTTCCATGTTCTGGGCACTGTGGGGATCTGTGTCCTGGGGCCCACTGGGGGAGGGGCTTGGAGAGCCCCTATTTGGTGAGCCATGAAATGGTTTGGGGTGGAAGGGACACTGGTGATCATCTAACTCCAATCCGCTTGCCTTGGGCACAGCGGGTTGGCTTGCACAAGACCTAGCTCAGAAGATATCCTTGAACATTTTGAGGGATCGGGCTGTCACAGCTGCTTGGGGCAACCTGTGCCAGTTCCTCAATATCCTCACAGTCAAGAACTCTTTCCCAATATCCCATCTAAAGCTACCCTCTGTCACTGTAAAGCCATTGCCCCTTTTCCTATCTGATCCTGCCCTTGTAAGAAGGCTCTCTGCAGCTTTGTTTAGGTTACTTTTCTTATGAGATGAGGATGTGCAGGCCCTGGGGCAGGAAGTGGCTGCCTTCTCTCACTTCTTGCTAATATCTCACAGGAGAACACCTAGAATAGCATCACAGCCTGATTGAAATTTCACTGCCTCCCTGCTTTTGCTCCTCCCTCCTCTCTGCTCCCATTTTTCAATGGATTCTTCACAAAACAGTATCACTCTGGAACAGGACTCCTTCAGGAATCATGTGTGTTGCTTGGGTCAGGAGCCAATCCAGTCACAGCCACAGTGGGTGACCACCCACATTTCCTATGTGGATGTTTGAAGGGCAGCTGTGAATGCAACTGCTTCAGATTCAGCATGGAAATTCAAAAGAAAAAAAAAAAATCTGTCCTAATAGTTTTTAATGAGCAATCTGCTACTTATTTAGTTTGATGTTGACAAGTTACCTTAATTTCTCAGCTGGAAGCTGAGAAATCCTCGAAGATGCAAGTAGTTTTGAATGAGGAGCATTGTTTGGAAGTTACACTTCTAAATATTTCTGTAATGATTGTGAAATTTTTTTTCGTTGAATTTCATCTAGTGATGGAGTAATGAAATGTAGGCATGGTAAAATATTTAAGATTTCACATGGCTTTTTATTTTGAGAAATGCTTGGTTTAGTGAGTCATGACAGGCATGATACTGACCTAAACAGAGTAGCTAACTGTATTGCTGGGGTGATACCTCAGAATCTTCACTACTCTTGAGGTACATCACAATTCTCCCCAGCATGGGTTTGCCAGAAAACTTTGAGAATATTGCTGAATTCTTCCAGAATTTCAGAAGCTTGTCTGGGAACCCTTACCTGGTATTTCTGGAGCAAACAGAATTTCTTCTAAGACCATACTGGCCTTGACTTCTGGAAGTGCTTTATGTTTGGCACCCATCTAAAGGAGCTCTTCTTTGGAGCTCTATGAGAAAATGGATTGAGAGGGGAGAAAAAATGGTTAATTGCTTTGCTTCTCATAGGCAAAATTTTTTTTTTCTTTACATGGACATATAAAAAGAGATCCTGGAAATTTCTACTTTTTAGAAAAAATTAAATTATTTAAATTTTATTTTATATTGGAATTGGAATATCTTCAGTGTATTTTCCAGGGAATTCCAGCTGTCTGTAAGCATAGAAGGGCTGGGAAAAGTAAGGTTACATGGCATATCTATTTATTTCTGCTGGTTTTTATTAAGCAGTAATTAATTGTTAATGGGAGGATGATGACTGTGAGAAGCTCCTCTAGAAACTGGAAAAAAATTTGCTTATAGGTGATTCTTCTGTTGGGGTTTAGAGAACTCAAGAGTACAGTAAGAGTGTGTGTGTTTATCTAAAAAGCATTACTTCAGAGTTTTGAGGTGAGGGAGTACAAGAAAAAAGTGAAACAGAAATGGATGGAGTTGTTTTGGAAGTGAGAAGTTTCCTATGGTGTTTTTTTTTTTTTCTGAGCAAGTGAAATATATCTTCATGTTTTTGTGTTGAGTTTGGAATAATTTGCTTCTTCTTTATGCTTTTATTTTTCCATAACCTGTATTTATGACATGATTTTTCTTTTAATTTTATTAAAAGTTTATTTAAAACATACTTCAGTAAAAATGGGGGAAAAATCCTTAAAACATAGGTGTCCATATAAAGTCCATTTAAACTGTAGGTGTTGAGTATTTTATTCAGTTTGCTGCTTTTGTCCACATATGACTACATGTATACATGCACATATAAAAGGTTAATGGATTGTCTGGATTTTCCAATATCACACTGTACATTTTCAAGTATATTTTAAGACCCAACATGTCTCTCACATTCTGTCCCAAAGCCATAGAGACGTCTTTGTCTAAAGATGTGTACACAGTTATGGAGGGTGTGAAGTTTTTTACAATTTCCTTGGCAACCCAACAATATTTACATCACTACAATTTTCTTATGCAATAAATATTTGCTGTTCAGCTGGCTGGGACATCCCTAATATCTTCCTTTGAGCTGTATGACTGGGATAGCCTAGATTTTTGAACTGTCATTTCCTGGGCACATGCACAGACAAAGGGCCTGCTGGTCCTCTGTAAAACTGTGTAAATTTGCTTGTTTATTTTGTGGAAATGCAAGCAAGAATTATCTGTGGTGCCATGAAAATTTTGTCAGGGGTGCTTATGGGAAACTAGGAAGATTTCCCTGGCAAAATACTAAATCAGTGGCTTTTCTTGCTGCTGTTTCATATTTTCTTAAGAAGCCTTCCCAAGTCCTTCAAAGTCTTTTTCCTCAGTAGCTGAGGGTGCTTTGATCTTCACTCATGCAGTTTTTCTGCTTTTCAGAGTTTATTCTTGGAAAAGGTGTTGCTGGTGTTTCTAAGTGTATGATCAAAGGATACAGATGCAGGAGGACATCCTGGTTCAGCTCACACAAGGATGATTGTGTGGGTTCAGAAGAGCCTTTCAGGAGTCAGTGCCCTAGACTGTAAGAGTTTCTTTTCTGCCTTAGGCTCCAGGCTGGATTGTAATGCATCTAAGAGCTCCAAAAGTTCATGGCTCTGCTGTGGCTGCTGGTTTGTCCCTGTGACAATATTATGTGTTATCAAATTTCTGGACCAAATTTCTTCATGAGCGGAGGACCAGTGACAAGACCTGAGAAAATGGCCTGGAGCTTTGTCAGGGGAGGTTGAGATTAGACATTAGGAAAAGTTTCTTCACCCAGAGAGTGGCTGGGCACTGGAAGTGGTCACAGCAACAAGTGACAGAGTTCATGGAGCATTTGGACAATGCTGGAAAGGGCAATAAAATATTTCTGCCGCATGCACCCAGAGAGGCGATGACATCCCCAGGGCCGGCAGGACGAGCCCGAGCGGCCGCGGGAGGGCGGCAGAGCCTCAGGAACGGAGAGAGGCGGCTGGAAAAACGAGATGCGCTCAAATTCCATTCGCTTCTGCTCTTATTTCCATGGGTCATTCTTTAATTCTGTCCGTCCAGGTTAGGCCGTAAGGTTCTTGGGGTAGGGACTTGTCTAAATGGTGTATTGCTAGGCACGCCTATGACGCTGTACAAATAATTAACTGCTGTAATGATCGTGCTTGTGAAGCACCCTCACTTGACATTGCTACGGGGCAGTTACTGTCTGTATCCAATGTGGCTGTGTCAGCCAGACTAGGACCTTGAATCAAAAACTGGAGGAGGTTAAGTAAGCCCTCATTGACTAACGTGTTTTATTGCTTTGAAACATTTGGAGAAGGAACCCAAAATGTTAGCCATTTAAGCTTTTCCTCTAAGTACTTCCTAGACAAGAATGACCAAACTGCCAAGGATTAATGCTTCTCAATTGAGAGATTTGGGAGAACCGGATTCTAACCAGGTTCTATTGGTTAGATGTCCATATTAAAACCAGGAAGAAGTGTGTTAGAAGGGCTCTTGTGACATTTTGCCAAGTTTTTAATCTATTTCACCATCTTTTAAGATGCTTATGAGTAGCAGGTGAAGTCTGTAGGGGCAAGGCCTTCCACAGATGCTGATCTTCTTCCATGTGCTGTCCTGATTCTCAGTGGAAGCTGAGAGCAATCTCTCTCACCTGCCTCTAGAAGAGCTGCTTGGGATGTTCTCTATCCTCTTCCCTGGTTCTCAAAGTGATGCAGTCCCCCTGTTCAAAGGTGTCATTTTTGCAGTGCAGGAGTCCTGGGCAGGGGGTTAGCAGGATAATGCTGGTTAGTAAAGGTGGCTGAAAACAGAGGAAATGTTCAAAAGTAAATTTACACCAAGAACAAGCATGGATCAAATAGGATTAACATTGAAGAAAACCAACACAGGCATGTGTGTGCTTGTGTATGTAAAGCTTCATCCCATGGTTTCAGGGAGAGGGTGGTGTTCACTCCCAGAAAGCACACAGGTGCTAGCAGAACATGTCCTGGCTGTGTCAGACCTGCAAATAAGAGCTTGAAACCAGCACCTAAAGTGGTGGTCAAACTTTCTGTCTGAAAGGGGTTGTTTGGGACTGCCTGGGTTAATTCCTTTTTTTTAATCTCCAGTGGAAAAAGCAACACCTCAACAGGCTCCTAAAAGGAGGAAACAACCTAGGTCATCATCTTTGCAGCTGAGCACCTTAACTGCTTAGCTACAGGATGAAGCTCTTTCTTCCTCTCATGAGTTTTACCTTCTTAGCTACCCACTGAGGTAGCTTCAAAAGGAGAATAGACTGGGATCACATCTGGTTTATTAATACTCTGTGCTGAGGTGAAACCTGGGAGAGGGGATGCCATGGATTCACCCCTGTCTTGGGCTGAAGGATTCCTATGCCTGTGCCTTAGTGCTCTTTCCCCATCTGGGACTTGGCATGGACATTTTTCACACCACAGGTCCAGACAGAACATTTACTCTGGCACCAAAAGAGACTATGCTACGCTCATCAGTCATCCTGCATCTAAATGATGCTCTACTGACAATTTTGGTCTAAAGAGTAATATATATGTGTGTGTGTGTGTGTGTGTGTGTGTGTGTGTGTATGTGCATTGATTCAGAAAGGCCAGTGAGCCTGTGGTGGCCCATTGATACCAGACAGGCTTTGTCACATGGATGTGCCTAAGCTTTTCAGCTCTCCTGCGAGGTAGGTTGGTGTTACTCCCATTTTAAAAATGAGGGTTTATTGACTTTCTCTGAAAGGTTTCA